TCTTATCAGCACTGGGTTGTCTAACCACGTAGCATATTCTATTTCTCTAATAAAACCTGCTTCCAAAAGCTCTTGTGTCTTTTCTTCAATAGCCCTCCTCCTTTCTAAACAAAATCTCTGTTTCTTCTGCGCTACCGGCTTTACTCCTGGGGTCATTTCCAAGCGATGACAAGACAATGCCGGATCCATACCGGGCATATCTGAAGGTTTCCATGCAAACAAATCAATATTCTTTTTCAACAAATCCTTTAAACTCTCTGCCACCTCGGGCTCCAACTCGGACCCATCTTAGTACACTGCTGTGGAGATATCCCTAATTGAACTTCTTCCATTGCACCGGCGGGTTCCGGCCTATTCACCTTGTCCTCCTCCCGAGGATCCATCCCCACCACCATTACTTGTTCTTCTTTCTTTCCTTCTTCTTCTTCTTCTCTTTGTACATTTCCTTCTTTGGCTTGTTGTGGTGGCTCCACAATATTTTTCTCCTTACCTGCTTGTGGAACTTGTAGACTCATATTATAACAACTCCGAGCAACCACTTGGTCCGCCTTTATCGTAGCTACTGACTCATCTTTGGCCACAAATTTCATAGCCAACTGATCAATCGACAAGAAGATTTTAAACTTCTTCATAAATGGCCGCCCCAAGATAACATTGTACGCCGAGCTCAAATCTACTACTGCAAACATCAAAGAGACCGTTTTGTGCGCGGGCGCCTTGCCTAAAGTCATCCTCAATAGGATATATCCCAATGGCTTAATTTTATCTACTGTGAAAGCTAAAAACTCGGCTCCACCTGGCTCCAACTGGTCATAATCCAAATCCATTCTTCTAAACGCATCCAAAAATATAATGTCCACCGAGCTCCCCGGGTCTACCAACATTCTATCAACGCGATAATTTGCTAGCAGACCAGAAATGACTAAAGGATCGTCGTGCTCTGGATCAATTATCTAATCATCCAGGTCATCAAAACCTACTTGTTTGCCTGTCTTCCTTCTTTCTTCCTTAAAACGCGGCTTAACTGAAATGGCCATGCACATCTTTAAATGCTTTTTCCGAGCTATAGTACATACGTGACCCAACTGGACCGGATTGGGAGATGTTTGCTTTTGTTGTGGAATCTTGTATGCCTCTTGTCCTCTTCCTCCTGGTGGACTCCGACTACGGTATGGTCGTCGGGATTTGTCCTCATTGCTACCATCTACATCTCTTATCACGTACTTCTGTAACTTTCCTTCTTTGATCAACCGTTCAATGACGTTCTGTAAATTAAAACAGTCGTTTGTATAATGCCCGTACCCACAATGGAATTCACACCATCTGGTTTTGTCTGGAAACTTTGACTGAATGGGTGGCGGCCTTGGGACATTTCTCATTTCTGCCGACGTTACTTCTTTAAATATCTGAGCTCTAGACGTGTTCAAAGGTGTGAACTCCCTCCGATATGGATCTCTGAAACTTTCTCCGACTAGACGAGGTCGTCGCTCTTCAAACTGCCCTCTTCCTGCTGGTCTCTCCGGCCTCCGACTTTGACTTGCTTCCTGAAAACCTTGCTCAATTTGCTTTTGAGAAGATTTAAATTCTTCCAAATCAATATACTTTCTGATTCTTTCTAGCAAATCTTTTTTTGTTGCCGGAGACTTTTTGGCTAACGAGTTGGCAATTCCTCCGGGTTGTAATCCAGTAGTGAACAACAACAGATACGTCTGATTTTCTAAATCCTTAACTTGTCTTGCTTCTGCCTGAAAACGTTCATAATAATCTCGCAACTTTTCTCCGGGCTTTTGTCTTACTGTGCACAAATTATGCGTTATTTTAGGCTGGGGTTCGCAATGAGCAAACTGTTGCACGAACCGTTGTGATAAGGCCACCCAAATTTCGATGGAGTTATCTGGTAAAGCCGTAAACTACTCCAAAGCCTGTTTTCTCAAAAACACAGGAAATGTTCGACACAACAATGAATCTGATTCGCCACACAAGGACATTGCTGCCCGGAACACTGTCACGAACTCCTTTGGGTCTGAACTTCCATCATACGCCTTCATGTCACTTGGTTGCTTAAACCAAACCGGGATTGGTTCTGCTCTAATGGGGGGCGCCGGAATCCCCAGTTGAGCTCATCCGAGTTGTCTATTCGAAACGGGTACATCCTGCTCCCTATTGGCTATTTGTCTATTTCCATAATGAGGACCCAAGCCTTCTTCCTGCCCTGGTCCGTAATGCTGATAATCCCAATTTGCTTGTCGCCTTCCATTTCCTTGACTTTGATCTCTACCCCAGTAATGATACTCGGTATCGTCTCGTGGAACTTCACCTCTACGATTGCCATAACTTCTTCCTCCTTCCGGCCTCCACCTTTGATAAGTTTCTTCATATCGACCTCTGTTTACCTTTCGTTCATCTCGTCGAGTATAATCTTGACGGGCTCCTAAATACTGCTCTTCCTCCCATATCACCTCTTCTTCCACCTGTTCATCTTCTCTATTTTGATATTGCCTAGCCCGGCCCGTTCTCCGGGCATAATCCTCAGGTATCCTCTCTCCTATCCGCGGATTTGTTCCTCGTCTTTCGCCTTGATAGCCTCCCCTTTCTGGAGAACCCCTTGACTCTTGACAAAGTTGTCCTCTCCTCCCTTCATTTATTCTATTTTCCCTCACCGTTGGAGGTGATAAAGGAATATAGCTAGGAAGAGGAGACAAAGAATCTCCTCCTCTGTTGGGTGATTGCTGCTCATTCTCTACAGGATTCCTTTCCTCTGCTCCACGTCTCCTTTGCCCTGCTTCTAGATGTTGCCTATTCCTGATATCCTCCACTAACTGAATCAAAGCTTCTCCAATGGTGTCCAGAGACCGACTCCTTCCACTGGATCGGAAAGAATCTTCCTCTCCTAGGTATCCTCTGTCGTCTTCCGTTCCCTCATCATGGTAATTGCTTGCGATGACTCAAGAAAATGCGTAGGAATCTTTTTACCTATTCCCACAGACGGCGCCAAATGTTCTGTATGAACATTAGTATGATTATTGTATGGTTCTTATTCTCCTTTCGTTAGTTATGGTCTTTGGTATATATAACATTTCCATAGGTAGTTATTGTGAACGTGGGTAGTTATAGAAACCCATCATGTAATCGTGGTAGGGCCACTTTGGGTTATAGTATTTTGGACGGCTTCCCTTCCGGGTAAAATCTCATCCGGGTTCTATCAACTCTTCTCCTTGACTATTGATACCCGGATGTATAAACCCGGAACAGTACCTATAATTACTCATATATTTGTTTTGTTTTTTAAATGAATTTAGAGTTTGATTTTAAGAAGTTAGGAAAATACAAGTTTATTTCAAGGCATTCCTCTTTTTTCAATAAAGTGGAACTGGAACTGGAACTGGAACGAGGAGAAATTGGGGAGTATAGAGATGGAAAATAATGAATTAAATTCATTTTAATGTCTTCTCTGTACATGAAATATGATAATTGATACGATTGTTCAAATTTCAATATAAATGAAAAATAACACTTAGATTTTTTGTTTTTGAGGGAAAAAGAAGAGGGTGAGCAAGCAAAAAATACTAAGGAGGTGTTTGGTTCAGGTGAAATTTTTTTTACTAGGGAAATATAATTACTAGGGATCTGCAGGAAAAGTGAGTTAGATAGAAAAGTTTTAAAAAAGTTGTTTGGTTGGGCAAAATTTTACCAGGAAAATTTGAGTGAAATCTCAAATGTGTGTTTGGTTGAAAATAAAATATTGATAGGAAAACTTATTGAAATTACAAAAGTATCCTTTTAAAAATAAACCTATAGGACCAATTATCCTTTTCACATGTGAGGGTAATTGTGTCACTCATTTGTATCACTTTTCATTTATCCGATTTTCAAAAACAAATACCACCTTGTATGATGCATTCTGGAACCGTCTTTTTATTGCTTTTTACATGCAAAATATGATAGATAAGCAACTCACTTTGATAGGTAAAATTGAAGAAATCAATGAACCAAACATGGACAATTAAATATGTGGGAATCACTTTGCTGGGAAAGAGTTTAAAACTCTTGAACCAAACACCACCTAAGTCATCATTGTTGATTTAGCCATAGAAAGTATTTGAAAAGTCTCTCTGGAAGGTATGCCACTTTAACTAATTAATAGAAAAACTGAAACAAAATGATAGAGAGAGAAATCAAAAGGAACGAGAGACGCTGAGAATTTTTTTCTGCTTTTGAAGCAGGAATTATTTGCCTTATACGAAAAGGATAATGACTTGTTTGGATAGACTTTTTCTCTCTTGAAAAATTGCTTTCTCACTATAAATTTGTTTGAATGTCTGTTTAAAAAAAATAATAAAAAAAATTAAAAACTTATTTTTTTGAAAGTTAAAAATTTTAACTTCTAAAAATTACAAAAGTCAAAAGTCAATTTTTTTTTTCAAAAACTATATTTTTTAAAAATCTAATAGCTTTAACTTTTGTAAAAAAACAAACACTTCTAAAATAAACAAGGCATAAAAATTTCTTTTTTAAAAAGGCCAAACAAATGAACTTTAAAACCACGTCCACAGCACAGGAAAGAAGAGAAAAAGTTAATTACAAATATTTCCACAAAACTTTCAAATTTGAAATTTTTTTAATATTACAAACAAGCTTTAGACCCCAAAAAAGAATTAGGAATACTTAAGAATTTCTGGGTCTTTTTTTTCTAGTTCATCAGTCTTTTGGTTTTTTAGATGTATAAATTCAATGCGAGTAAACGGCTTCTGTATTTGATAGTTCATTGTATATAGTATTTATTGATTAAAAGTTTATATATATTAAGGTTCATGTAATTAGTTCTCAATAGCTAGGTCATGTATAGGACCTATAAAATAAAAATTACCCTTCTATTTATAGTTTGAGTTTAAGAATTAAGTAAAATAAAATTATATTCCGAACTTTTCCTCTTCCTCCAACACAGTGAGGCCAGTAAAATGCATAATATTGACATGGAATCTCAAGTTCATGGTTGTCTATTACAACTTTACCTGTTTCTCCAAAAGCTCATTTTCTTTTCTCAGGATCAGCTCCTGTTTGAAGCGGCAAAAAAAGGAAAAAGAAAAAACCGTTAACAAACCATAATTAATCTCTGATCCATGGCTTATCATCCAGCATGTAGTTTTATATTTAGACAAAAACGAAAAGCGCAATTGTCTCAATGCATACGAATGTGTGGAAAGCAAATAAAGTAAATGGTTTAGAATTTCTAGCTTGAACTTCTCTCGAATAAATAGCCTGTTAAATGTCCTTTTGTCTCTTTGGTGTCGGTATCCAATTTTTAGAATTGTACCTTCTTTATTATGCATCAAGATGCTCGAACTTCTCAAGCCTTTTCAATTTTCTGTTGTATAAAAAGATTTTTCTTCTTCCTCTTGGTGTTAGGGTTTTGAAAGTGATAGGAAAGGAAAATCAAAAGATAGAGACATAAGAACAGAGAATGAAGAGAATAATTAAGGAGAAAGAATGACGTATCTGCATCAGGAACTGCAGAAGAACTAGGAGATACCCTCCTCCAAGAGTCTCTTCCTATTACTGAACTACTACTATGCTATTACTTATGAGGGTGAATGAATATTTCTTCCTATTACTATTTCCCTATTTAACTGTCTAACCGCATATATCTGAAAATATAACCGGATATCTAACCAATCCAACCCAATTAACCTCACAACGTGTGGACAGCTTCCAAAACTGTCTTCGGAATATCAGCTTTATTCATGAGAATTTGATAGTACCCGTTCGTGAGTCGATCTTTGAAAAATAGGCAGCCCAATATAATTCATCTAATAGCTTCTTTAAATTTCCAAAAATAAAATAAAAATTCTAATAGCTTCTTTACTACAGATATTGGAAATTTATCCAATACTGTGAACGCAAAATAGGCAGCCCAATATAATTCATCTAATAGCTTTATTCATGTCACCGTGAACGCAAAACCACCAACTTTCATCCCACCAATATAATTTATGGCGAATAAAACTAGTAGACAACATGTTAGCGACTACTTTCTCCATTTTGTTCTTGTATAACTGGTGTACGGACAAGGGTGCACATTAATGGGATCTGTACCCGTTATCAGATGACTTTTAACGTCTGTCTGGTGGGTAGGATAATGAGGATTTGATAGGATAGAATAAACTCTTATATCATGATTTTATCCAATGAACCAACAAGATACGTTAAGCTTATTTTGATGACTTATTTTATTTAGTCCGCAATAGAATAAGCTACTCTAAAAGGGGACTCGCGTTAGGATTGGACAGAATAGGATATCAAATGTCACATCTCTCACATTCTAAATGTAGCTCTATGCTCTTTTCCAACAAACTTTATTGGGCACGTGAAGGTTAGCCCTTGCCGCCGACCACCCACCGCCACCGTCGGCGATGACCATTGGCCACCACTATCCATCACCATTGCCACCGGCTATCACCAAGAGCTACCAATCACCACTATTATCACCGGCTACCACAACTCCTAATCAACAGGCACCAACCACCACTACCCACCATCACCACCATCATCAATCAGCCCCCATTATTGCTACCAGTCACAGCTGGCACTGTTACTACCCCCATTGACCACGTCCACCTCTATCACCACCCTAGCCACCAGACACCAATCATCACCATCACCACCACCACTTCTATCAATTAGCCACCACAATTGTCACAAATCACCGTCGACGCTGCCACTACCCACCCCCACTTGCCACAACAACCATAGTTGTTGTCATTGGCCACCCTCACCACAACGTCTGAAATGCATCCTTCCATTTTAAAGAAGGGGCATTTTAGTCTTTTTACAAAAATACCTAATACGTTGCAATTGAAAGGGGTTCATTGACAGAACCCATTTCCTTCTTCTCCTTTTACCCTTTTCACCATTATTTCTTCTCTATACTTGCTTTTTCTTTCTTACAAAAAAAATTCCAAGCACCGTTTTGAAAACTTGATAGAGCTTTAAACTCCTTCCCATTCCTTCCTCTTGGAGGTAGATTTTAGGGGCGAACTTTAGAATTGAGGAAGGTGCTATGAGGAGAAAGGGAGCAACCCACACCTCAAAGATTTGATTTTTCTGACTCCTTGAGGTAAATCCATTATCTAAGGCTTTGACAAAATCTATGCATTTGTATAGGTTTGATTATGGTAGTTGTATTCTTAAGCTTTGAGACTAAAGTTAGGGGGCGTTTGGTACAGGAGAAATTTTTTTTTATCGGAAAACTTTTTTTGCTGAAATATGATGGGAAATATTTTTTCTCAGATAACTTACAAAAATGTGTTTGGTTTACACAAATTTATCCCAGGAATATTTGATTAAGTTTACTTTTTCATTCATTTTTTTTCTCCAGTGTTCATTTCCGCTCAGTTCTCCCTCTCTCTCTTTGTGTGATATTCGACCTTGTTCTTTGCTTTGAGCTTATCCTTGAAACCATATTTTTTTTGTTTTCGTTTTCCATGCTTTACTCTTCACACCATCTACAGCTAGAGCATCTTCTATGTATGATAAGGCATAAAGCATGGCAACATGAGCTCCTTCGATAACAGATGGGACTGTAGTTATTACTTAACAGAATAGCTCTTATTTCAATACACAAATGCAGTGGCTTGAAGGGGGAGGGAGATAATGTATTGTGCTTTATGCTACGTTGTACTGAGCTTCTTCACAAAAGTGAGAGTTAATTTGGTCCTTAATTTTGCTGTTGATTAGTTACTTCCCCGAGTGATGAAAAATTCCAACAAATCTTTGGTAATGTTTTGATGGTGTCTGTACGAAAATTTGCAGAGGAGAACGAAATTCTTGAAACAAATATATTCGGAATTTTTTTAATTTTTTTGTACCAAACATGACATTCCATAAATCCAAAGTGAGCTTTCCCATGTTTTTAAAAAAAAATCTGTGTACCAAACGTCCCCTTAGGGTTTTTATCTATTTCCTTATTATCCTTTGTTATTTTACTCTTAAATAATTTCTAAACCATTGTTAAAATTTTTATGATGCTCAGATTTTGGCTAAAACATAGCTCAGTTGCTTACCCAGAGTCATTAGAAGTGCTTTAGTTAGTTCCTCGAAGCTATGAGTTGATGGTAATTACAATGATATATTTTATTTTTATTTTTATTGTTTAGTAACAAATGCATAGGGGAACAAATATTTTGAAATGTGATTAGCAAATTTATGCATTTTAAAATGGGATTAATATTTCTCATGTTGTAGTAGATAATTTCATCCCCTATATACACATAAAAGTGTGTGAGACCATATAGGAACATGTGAAGAGAAGAGAGAGAAAGAGAATTTGAGGTGTTTTATGTATATTTTGAATAATTTTTAACTGCCATACTCTACATTAGGAATTTGAATTGGTCTTCTTCTAAATTTGAGGTGTTAGCACCGGAATATATCAAACGTCTCCTATACATAATTTGTAAGTATAATGATGAACTCTACCCCATTAGTTAACCAAACAACTATCTTTTCCTTAAATTTTTAGTTTAAAGTAGGGGAGGGTGGGGGAGGTGATCCATCGATATAAGTGGTTATCAAACCTACAAAAAGGGGAAACTCTTGCCAAATGCATACCTTTTTCTTAAGGTTCATTACATACTCCATCATCATTCGCATCTGCATGCAAAATTTCTGAATTAGAATGGTCTTAAATGTAAAAAGGTCGACATATGAGGAACAACTGCATCCTGAATTGGAAATTTAAAATTCGTGGGTTAGACCACAATTGCCATAGGTTAAAAGGAACGGGAAATTCCATCAGATATAGAAGAGAATGAGTATTTATTTTCCAAAAAAAAGAGAATGAGTATTTAAATTAGACCTTTAGTTTACAGCAAAATGAAATTTGGCAAAAAGTTCAACCACAAAATGAGCTTGCAACAAAATGGAGAAACAATAGTAATATGCCATAAATCATCATATAGTTGTTCAAGACGAGCCTCTTATACAAACAGGCTTATATAGAGCACAATTACTAGCTAGAATTGATGGGATCTTCATAGTTGAAACATTTCACGCCTAAAGCAATTGGTACTTTCTAACTGACAGTGATTTGAATAGAGAGAAGGAACCAACTTAAGCAGTTAAGAAATACCCAGATTGATTTCAATATACATATCTCATGCAAGGTACTCATGCAAAAGCCCTTTATCCTTTAAGTAGAGGGAAACTATAAGCTCACCTTATGTTGTACTAAAATTTATTTTATTTTTGTTAAAAATGGAGGTCTTAAATCTGTGGACGGAGGGAAGTTAGGCTAAAGTGCAAGCAAAGCGGTCTGGGAAGAATTAATCTTAGGATGAAGTAGTCCCCAAAGAGATCTGGTGCTACTTGAGTTGAAATTCTTGGGCAACTTAACTTTCATTTAATTATGAAGAATGCAGGGAAATGATTGAATTAGGATTTTATATCTTGCTATGGAATCTACACACCACAAAGCTTAAACTGTTATGTATAGCTAATGAATGTGCTAGCAATAGCAAATTTTTTTGCCAGGGTTTGGTAAAAAATGATTTTTATAAAAATACGACATGGCTTGAAGATTATTTTTGGGCTAAATGGGTAGGCCTAAAAAGACAAGTCAAGAATCAAATTCTTCCGGCAAATGAGTGGGCTGACCTGACCCAAAAAGATGAAATCAGAAACATGTAGGCTAATGGATGTTTTTGTCAGGTTAAACAGGCTTAGCTCGTTTTTGACAAGTTTACTTTTAATAGAAGGGTCAAGAATGAAGCCAATAATATATCTAACAAAAACACTCAAATGTAGGACAAATCTTGGAAAGAACTCGAAAGAGAGGAGATTACATTGAATCTTGTGTTCAGTATGAATGCAAAGAAAATAATAGGTATTTATCAAGTCCACTGATGATCATATTAATCGACACACACTACAAACACAAATCGCAAAACAGAAAGAAGAAAAAAGGAAGAGAGAATATTCACACGTCAATTTATTCTGGTTTATCCAGTATAAGTTACGTCCAGCTTATTTGTACTACTAATTCGTTACAAGTCACTCGATTTACAAGAAAAATATAAATAGAATTAGAAAATCCTAACAGCAACTATTTATGGGGTCAAGTCCAAACTACTAAGAAAAAAAAATTACAATAAGCCAATTACTTTTCTGCTGACCCCAACAACAAGAACTCTCGTCAGCATGCAAAATATGAGTTATACTCAACACAAGTAAGCTACCGCTCTTACTATCACGAGTCACTAAAAACTCTCCTTAGGACTTGGCGCGTGTACAATGTCTATTTTGTCATAAAGACCGATATTGTTCTCCGTAAAGGATTAACTTATTCTGAAGCTTAAATTATTAGGTAGAAGTCCAAGAAAGGATTTATGTTTTTCAACAGTTCTTGACTATACTGACTAAAAATTGTCAACTTGAAATTTTCATCAATCCTCATTCCAGTGAATACCCCTACAGGACTTTTTCATCAATGAATATTCAAATTTCAAATGATGTTTACTATCTAAAGGTGCTTCTTTCGTTTTAAGGAACCAAATCCTAAAGCATAAAGAAGATATACTTACCTCGCATTCTTAGAACAATAGCTTTTTTATTTTTATAGTCAAAGACTCAAAGCTGAACAATGTATTTTACACTTAATGAATTGAAGTTCTTTCCCTGAATAGAGAACAAAACCTTTGCTGATCTGATTTGCGAAAGTGCAGTATGAATCAATTTCTCTAGTTCCGTAAGGTCAGTCACACTGAGATGCTCAAGTTCACAAACACCAAAGCGCCTGCATGCAAAGAAATTCACATCAGTGATTCGCTCATACCTCAACGTTGCAGGAAGATGAATGCAAAGGATTACCTTTTTACCAATTTAGAAAACGCTGCATCAGACCGAATATCTGCAATTTCAAAGCGGAGTTCCGGCTACAAAAAAAAAAAGAAAAAAAAAATAACAATCGTTAAATAATCTATAGCTAGTGATCTGTTTTTCAAAGTATCAGTTCTACATTTGCATTTGATTCAAATAACCCCCTAAAACAACAATTCTATGCAACCTTGCCAATAAATATTGAGTGCTCTCTTCATCCTTGCGATCTTGCAAATATCATGAGATATTTCAGTTCATATATGTTTACATAGAGAACTTTCTAGATGTTCTTATGGAAGCTGTGGTGAGATTTTCATCCTGTCATGTATCTCAAGTTCAATATATCTAGCGTACATGACAAGCTCCGTACCTTTGAGTCTGTACCGCTTGCTCCTAAATGATCCAAGTATTGCCGGAGGACCTTGGCCAAACTGAGTCAAACATTGAGTACATGAAATTTACATTCTAATAGATTGAAATAACTGGAAAATAAAACACATGAAATTCCATAGACATCGGTGCAAGACATAGATTTACAGGTCTTTGTCGGGAAGTTTCTAATAACATGTAAAGAACTATTTCAATCAAAAAGTTTAAACTTGTAAATGATAAATCTGGGTCTCGTTGATTCTTATATCATGATAACCAACCAATTTAACTCAACAGTTAATCTTGCAAGTGACGGGCTTCAACAATTTTATATTATATCTTTCTAACAATTTAGTTAAAAAGATTGTTGGTATGCAGGCAAATATGAGATAACAGAAATTATTAAGAAAGAAATAAAAATTATTAGAAAAATGATGTTAAAATTATTATTGAGAGGTAATTCTGTTCGAAAAAAGTCACTTCAACAATACGTATAGTTCCATTAAATACATAAAAGAAATTAAAACATGCAATAGCACAAAGTTTAAGTATAGTGTACAAAAATATATTAATGCAACAAGAAAACATTCGAGCATAGTGTTAGTTACTCTATCTTTAAGACAATTTGCACTCTTTATGTTGCTGTTGCCCAAGATTCATGGAAAATTATCTCTCAAATCATAGAACGAATTACCTCTGTTCTTGTGGTGACGTGTTCACATAGAACAAACTCAATCTATATCTGACCAATTGCACTGGAGTAGAAGAATACAAATGCAAAGAACGTACAAAAACGAATATAGGGAAAAATCAGTATTCAAAAATTGTGATTCTTCATTTATTTATAAAAAATATAAGGTTACGATTTGAACGGTACTGATTCAAAAACGAAACTACACATTTGTTTCGCGAGGAAACAACGTATCTTTCCGAAATCAAACTTCTTATTAAAAAAAAATTAAATTAAAATTAAATATAACAAAAATATAATATGATTAACTAGTTCATAATTCATAATTTTAATAACACAATCAATTGTAAAGCCAAACAAATTTCAGTCTTTCTATGTAAAATTGCTTGCTAAAATATTTTCATTGAACGACTTTTTTTTATAGTGTTTATTTGTACCTGATCACATAAAATTAGAATCAAAATTGTACATCACTACATATGAACTTAGTAACAAGCTTCAATTCGAGGGAAGAGTGTTAAAATATAAAGGTTATTAGTTATAGGGGTTAATGTTTATCCTTTTACTGCAAATTTTTTTTCTCTCTGTCATATTGAATTTCACTAATTTTTTTTTTATGGGATAGGTTATTCTGCCTATGCCTATCTTTGCCTACCCCTTTCAATAAGGTTCGATTACTATCTCAATCAACGGTCAATATTTGTGATATAAAATAAATCCATTTTTTCCCTTTCTTTCTCCTCACTTCCTCCCACACCCTTTCAATAAGGTTCGATTACTATCTCAATCAACGGTCAATATTTGTGATATAAAATAAATCCATTTTTTCCCTTTCTTTCTCCTCACTTCCTCCCACACCCTTTCTGTCTCCTCCCCTTTCTCTGTTCCTCTGCGATCAAGATCGAAAATAACGAGAAAATCGAAAAAAAAAACACATACCACCATCAATTAAAAAACCTCACTTATTTTCCCTTTCCGTAAACAAAATATCTTCAAATACATACGATCAGGGAGATGAAGTGGAGAATATTCTGTATGGTTATGTGGGAATTGCAGATGACTTGGACAAACTAGATTTCAATGGCAAGAAATGGAGTATGGTAAAGAGCAGGAAGGAAATTGAGGACCTTGATAATGCTCCTGTTAAAACCGAAGAGAGACGATAGATACAATATGTTTGAAGAACTTCTCAGGAATTTCATGGTCCCCTCATGCTAATAAGAATCGAGCGTGCTGTTGAAATCAATAGCGATATATTGATCAATGAGTATGTGTTTTTAATAAGAAACCTCAAACTTATTATTTTTTGTATTTGAAGAGAAAATACAGAAAATAATCGAACGATTAATCTTGAATTTTTTAATCGAACGATATATTGCATTTTTCACAATGATTCCGGGGAAGAGAGGAGACTTGCGTTGGACATTAGATCCGGATGAAATAGAATTATATGAATTATTTTTAATTGATGGTCGAATGTTTTTTTGGTTCGAATTTCTCGTAATTTTTAGTCTTGATCGCAGAGGAAGAGAGAAAGGGGAGGGAGAGAAAAAGTGTGAGACGAAGCGAGGAGAAAGAAAAAAAAAAGAGGTTTATTTTACATCACAGCCGTTATATGAGATTGTACTCGAATGATATTGAAAGAGGTAGGCAAAATAAGAGTAGGCAGAATAACCTATCCTTTTTTTATAGGGAAAAGTTCACCAATGCCCATGTGGTTTGCTTCAGAATCACTTATGCCCCTGTGATTTTTTTTCTATCACATATGCCCCTTGGTTTTTTTATTTTTACAAAGCACAGGGGCATATGTGATAAAAAAAAAATCACATGGACATAAGTGATTCTGAAACAAACCACAGGGACATCGGTGAACTTTTCCTTTTTTTATATAATGGGATCCACTTACTTTATGGATGTTAACAAATTTCACTATTCCGAATTCAACCTTAAAACAAATTTTTAAAATTTGAAATGAAAATATAATTCGCAAACAATGTATATATATGCATTTAACTATGTATTTTCAATGATTCATTTTCTGAAATTTATTGAATAATTGATATAAATAATGATGGACCGACGTGTACAAAACAATTAGGGCATAAGGCATATTTGGATGTTAAATCGCCTAAGTAGTTTGAAAGAGAAAACGCCAAGGAGATTACAAACGTGGCAATGTAATAGAAGAACTCCAAAAACCGTAGGAGACAGATATATATATCATTAAAAAAATTTATTATTTTTACAATCAATTTAATTATTATTGATTTCTATCAATCTAACGGTTATAATTTATTAATAATTAATAATTAATTAATAAGTGTGACCTAATAAATGTTATTAATTCTCAATAAATTATTACTGTTAAATTGACAGAAATCAATAATGATTAAATTAATTATAAGAGTCATAAATTTTTCAGGTAGTAAATGTATCTGTTCCCAAAACCATAATGTATTATAGCTGATACATATCAGGTGCTCATACAGGAAGGGAGCTCTAGTAAGAGGTACGATATGTGTCTTCGTTTATTTGTCTATATAAACAGCATTTTTAATAAAACAACCTTTAATTGGTACGCGACAATTATTCCGTGCAAATCGAAACAAACATTTGTTTGCATCGGTGTTATATGCAATGTCTTTTTTACTCTCTCAACATTATTTTTTCTATTTTTAGGACTTAAACTCAAAGCTCCTTGATAGTTAAATCAAAGATTATTGATTACATACAATGTCTTTATGTACATAACAATTGTTAAGAATGGTGTTGGGTGAAGGTTTTTTTAATGATCTAACATTCTCTTACACAACAGTCTTTTGGGCTTGAAGTGTGAATACTACACAGGGCCATTATTTTATTTAACTTGTGCTTATTTTAATTTCACTTGAAAGTAGCAGCGGTGAGAATAGAACTCGTGATCTTATGATCACAAGTTCTGATATCATGTTAAGAACCATTTCAACTCAAAATTTTAAAATGTTGAGTAAGGGTATTTTTAATTGTGTATATAATTCTTTAACAACAAGCAGTATAAGATTTATTGATGGACCTCTAGCAATCAGAGAAATGATTTTACCTCTCTCTCTCACACACACACATGTATATATATATATAGGTTCATCATTTCTCAAACTACTTGAGATAATTTTATCTCCGTCTACTTAATCATACCCGTACCAAGACGAATCAATGGTAATGAAGGAAGAGAGAAAAAGAAAATCATAACCATTCAAACGTGAATCAATTAATATAAGAAAATAAATAAACAAAATTACGTAGTTTTGGAGTGGCTGGAGATAAATTTATCTCAAGTTGCCGGAGAAATGTTTTTCATTATATATATGGGAAAAGTATTTGTTATAACCTTTCATTCTTTTAAAGAGGTGGGATCTACACCTTTATATTTTTTTGTTCACTCTCTCTCCTCCTTTATCTAACTCTTTCTCTCACTTAAAGTGACACAACTTTATATCCTTTAAAATGATACACATTTTTCCTATATATATATATATATATATATATATATATATAGGTAAAATCATTTCTGCAGCCGCTTTACGTACAACAACGACAGGTGTATAGTTATGATTCCCCACATTTAATACTTTTATCTTTTGTATAGTTATGATTCCCTGCATTTAATGCTTTCACATATATATATGACAAGTATTTGATTGTTGCACATACAACAGCTGCAGAAATATAGAAAATAAATAAATAAAACGACGTAGTTTTGGAATAGCCGGAGATAAACTTATCTCAAACTGCTCGAGAAATGTTTTTCCCTATATATATATATATATATCCCACTAATTAATCAGTTTTCCGTTTCCTTAGAATGTAAAAAGTGGGGGAGAAAAAAAAAAACCGATTAAAAATTCTTTTAAATATTTTTTTAGCTAGGTTGAGACAAAATGATTTTGTTGATAAATTTTATAGCATAAAAAAAAATTGTGTGCTGTTATTATTCTCAACGAAATAATATACGTGCATCATCCAAAATCACTTTTTTAAAAAAAATAAAAATTCATTACTTCCATGTCCTTAACACTAGCAAATACTTTTGGAAATAAAAAAAAATTAATTCAAGTGCAAATTAACGTAAGGATGGTCTAGAATTAGGAGCGTAAATAGGTAAGGCCGACCTAGAGGAGTATTTGACTTAGTTTATATTAGACAAGACTTGACTTATTACAAATAGTAAATTAGAACAAAACTAGGCCTTTAAAAATTTCTATTTATAAAATAGGCCATAAGCTTTTTTATATATGTCGGGAGTATAAACCTAAATGTCGGCCTATATCATATTATTTATTTTAAATAAATTAAATATAATTAATATTTTAATAATTTTGAATAATAAAATAATATTATTTTAGTTATTCTTTTAATTGTTGAATGTTTAATAGGTTTAAACAGGCTAATAAGTTATTACAAAAAAAAAAAAACAGGCTAATAAGTATAGATTAAAACTTTTATGTTTTAAATATATGTAACTTGGAGGCACTGTTGTCAAACCCGGCCCGGGAATCCGGTGAACCGGTCATCAGATCGGTTCGGGTTAAGCATTGGACCGGTCATGCATCGACCCGGTCAAACCCGGTCAAAACCCGGACAAACCCGGCCAAACCCGGTGACCCGGTCGGGTCATGCATTTAAAAAAAAATAAAAAAAAAATTGTTTCATCTTATAAAAAAAATGTAAAACTCATTTTAACAACTTTTTATAATTTTATTTGCTAGTATACTCTTCTACGATGACCTCTTAGTTTTCAATACTAAAGCAATTTGTGGAATAATAAATTAGAGAATGTGACATATGTCATTTTAATGTAGTTGAATTTGAAAAATATGAGTTCAATGTCATTGAGAGGTATGTTTATGGGGATTCTGAGTTGCCATTTAAATTGACATAGTAATTGCATGCACTTTTATTTATTTATGCTTCATTTTTTTAACTTATTTAGTGAACCTTGTTTAATTTATTTTAGATATGGAAGATATAATTGAATTTATATGTTCATATTTTTATATATCTATATATATCCGGGTCAACTGGTCCGACCAGTGACCCAGTACTCCGACCGGGTCAATGCCCGGGTCGGGTTTAACATTACTGCTTGGAGGGTTAGTCCAGACCCTTTATTTTTTAGACAGACTTAACCTATTTAAACCAAAATCTAATCTAAGCTATCTTATTTAGAGCATAATTAAAATGTGTGCAATTTGCTCCAAATATATAAATTAAAAAATTAACACTCATAAGTGATAAGCAATTAAAGTCTGCGCAGCTACGCGTTAAGCTTAAGAGCAGCAACTTGTGCGCAGACCTATCACGTCAACATGCTGCACTAGCCGATATCCGTTGGCGTAGAAGACCAGATCACAAGCTTATCCTTTTCACAAGCGGTTGGCATCCAAATTCAAGCTTCGAAAACAGCGCCCAATGGCACAACTCCATTAGCTAATGAATATTTTTAACGGCACGATTTTGCTAGTTAATCATTTCCTTTTTTAGTTTCCCACACCGACGGAAAACAAAGACACCAAACAAATCAAGTACAGGAAAGGCATAAAATGCAATTAATTTTCAAGCGTGATGTGACGCGATCCCGAGAAGTTGGTTAGCTACTGTGGTACCTCTCAACTCTCAAGTACAGAAGGAAAATCAACCTATGCAAACAAGGTACTCTCTACTGTACTGTACGATTTGTGCGTACCTGTCACCGTTGCAGCACTCGTAGAGCTTCCCGGGGCGAGAGAAGATGACGAGCGCTACCTTCGCATCGCAGAGAACAGACAACTCGCGAGCTTTCTTCATCAATCCCTTCCGCCTCTTCGAGAAAGTTACTAACCGTCTGCTTTTGTCCTCGATTCGCTTCATCTCCACCTTCTTCTTCCCCATTCTTCTTCTTCTCGCCCAAACCCTAGCTTCTTCTTTTCTTTTCAGATTTCTTCTGCTCTGTTCTGTTACCACTTAGCAACAAGAAAATCCTATTCTTATAGGCTTAGCCTGTCCATTCTCCAGTTGACACGTGTCCACTGCCACATCACGTTGTTCAGGCTAGTTTCAATTTTTTTATCAATTCATTCTTTCGTTACATCACTTACATGGTACCGTCCATCTAAACAATATGTAACCAAAATCTAATGTCTCAGAATAATAATAACAATTAATAACAATATAACACGTGCTAAGATCATTGGCACGCAATTCAGGGCAATAAGTGGATGCAAACAACTATTATTATCATTATTATTATTATATTCTAAAAGGACAGATAATAGTGACCGAAGCAAAGAAGTGCAGTTTTATGAAAGCGCGCACACACAGAAGCACCGCTTACATTGTTCCTCATAGTAGAGACTTATAAGTCCATTACACGCCAAAGCAACTTTTTTTTTTTTTTCGATTTAAAATAAAAAAGGAACCGCAAATTTGTTGGTGAAGTGGATCTCATGCCGGAAACACCACTATGGTAACCATCCTGCCATGTAATTACTCATGCTTGGGCCTGCCGTCACCACTGATACTGGATCAGGCTGATAACTGCGCTTCAACAAATCTCATTATTAAAAAAATAATTCTAAAAATGGTTCATGGTTATGCTAATCAAATCAACTATCTCATATGACCCCACAACTATACTAATCATATTCATCACATATGCCACTCCTAAGTCCTAATAAGACATTTAATCCCGATAATAATGGAAATTAAAATTAGTCGCTAATGCAACTGACTTACTAACGAATTATTATGATACGATGGTAACCGTGGTCAAGATTGAGTGAAGAAAGGGTGCATACCCAATTTGTAACGTTGGCTCACACTCCAATGGTTGAAAGATGGCATCACCGTGAGTTTGAGCTGGATGCCGGACATATCCCATGTCTTCAACCCCATGATTCAGTTGGAGTTGATTTATTTGATACCCATCCAACTGCTAAACAGCACATTAAGTCACTTATACCCATCAATTTTCAATATGAAAAATATCAGTTGATCATCAGGGTTTTCAAGATGAATATATATTATCTCAGCAATTGGTTTTGGTCATACATGATTCTTTTCCTTGGTATATATAATTCCATTTGTTGATTTGAAAACAGGGCCTCAGGATTATTTTAAATGTATAAATTATATCCGTGGACCATAGGTTGATGGGTTCTTACCCTTTGTCTGAGAGACCTGTTAGCCTCGCTTAGCAAGTGTTCCTACACAAGTGACATAAATTGGTGAGCAAAACAATATAAACTATTAAAGAGGCCATCATCTAATAGTTTAAATTTTTGGGTGAGATTACAACGATTTTATATATTTCAAGACGTCCCATCACACGATAGCTCACTAGACTTGAAGGGTGGACAATGTACAGGCACCCCTAACTGTGGGAAGAAAGAAATTACACACTAGAAAGAAAGTGGGGGCGGTGAGGATCGAACTCGTGATCTTGTGATCACTGAAGCTCTAATACCATGTAAAGAATCATCTCAACCCAAAACTTAAAGTGTTAGGTGATGGCCTTTTTAAAGCTTAAGCTTTTTTGGGTTCAATTGGTTCTTTATATGGTATCAGAGTCTCGTATCCCGGATTCGATACTCATCGCCCCTCACTTGTGGAATTAAATAAGCACAAGATAAACAAAAATTTGAGCCTATGCAAATTATCTACGCTTCAAGCCCAAATGGCTCTTAGATAAGGGATGTATTAGAGAAATATAAAATAATTAATTTAGCCTCACCCAATGCCTTAAGATTTTTTGGTTGAAGTGACGTTTATCAAAAGAGAAGAAGATAGCAAAAGGTGGCAAACGAAAGCAAAAATTGTTCTCATACCTTACGTTGAAGATCAGAGAGTTGATCGAGCATGAATTGAGTCTGTAGAGGAAACAAATTTACAAAATAAAACACATTGTACTCGTACAATCATATGCAGTCAACTTCCGTTTTCGGTAAGGAGTTCCAATAATTAACACTGTTTTTATTTAGATAATAGGCATTTTGAGATTGATACATTTGTATTTAGAATTACATACCTGAGTCTCTTCACTAATCACTAATGAAAAAAGAAAAACAATTTGCAAGCATATATAAGGTTGGAAACTTAAGTACCCTTGTTGATCTTATTTGCTTCAAGGACGAATCTAGCTGCCTTTCAAGTGACTCGAGCTCTTTGCTGCCTAGAGGGCCAAGATCTTCTCCCATAAGGTTCCTAAGAAGGTAACATTTAAATACATATATCAGTGACTTTGTATCAGCTAATAAATCAGCCATATTTAATGGTACAACAGAGCATCAGTACCTCTGGGACCGTTGTAGGGCTTCATAACGTGCCTTCAGCTTCAAGTATTCCTGTTGACTGCTTAACTCCTACAGTCATGGTAGAAAAGTTTATGCTCTAACATATATAATTAAGGGAAGATATACGAGGTCATACATATATAGCGAATCTTAGAACTTGTTTCTTTGGGACCTGGACAACTACACATGTCATATTAGTTTAATTCTACTTGCACAAGCCTTGTCACACACACACTTCTCACGTATAATAAAATATCTTTTATAATTCATATTCAAGAAATAACTTCTATATGTGAATTATGCACTAAAGGTCATGTCGGGTGTTTCTAATTTTAAATCGTGCCTTAAAACATTATCAACACACGTTCTGAAAGTTACTTTTGTTATTAGAATTTGTACCTAAGCTTCGATTAATTAGCTTACTCTAACGCAATAGAGTATTCACATTTTATTGTTCTTCTTGCAATATCTAATTATACATTGTACTCATTAAAATTACTCTTGTTCCCAAAAGCTTTTGGTTTAAGTCTTGATTCTAATTAGTAGGATATTCTTTTTCTATTTTCCTAATTCCAAAATAGTGATGACACATTTCTTGCAAGCAAAACTCAAAATTATAAGAGCACTGCCTACTCTGCAAAATTGAAAGGGGTTATGTCACAAACATATGGACCTTGGTGCACAAATATTTATCAACTACCAGACTATTGGCTTGGCACATTTAGATCGGAGAAGGAAGTACTTGTGGCACATGATACTGCATCATATAATTAATTTTTTTCTGTTGGTGAATGATTATAAAATTTAAACATAGAGACTCACAGAAAGAAAAAAAGATTGGAGGTTCATGCAATTGTTATAAGTTATTAATGAAAATAAATTCGGGATCCATTATGGAGATATTCATGACAAAAATTAGGTAGAATTGGAGGCTCACCTAAAAGTCTGCATGCATGAATATAGGCACTATATGCATGAATTTAGGAACTAGAATTTATGTAGTTGAATTAAATTAACTTGTGTCCTTTTAATAACTTAAGAACCCCATTTCCTATAAAACGTAAATGTATGGGGCATGATATGCCCAAAAACACCATAATAATTAAGAAAATTCCCCCAAATTCTCTGCCCTCTACGCTTCAATAGTTTAACAATTAATACAACAACAATTGTGAAGCCAAATGTCCAAACTTATCACATTGCTTAAGTATACTACATGAGATGAAACTTATCATCCATCAAAGGTTGTATATTGTAGATATTTTCCAGCCTTCCACTGAATGGGCCTAGATGATACATTATCAATATTTTTGTGTGTAGGCAAATATTTAGTAAGGAACTATTTACAAAAAAAAAAAAAAAAATATTTAGTAAGGAACTCAAAAATGTTGTGAATAATCTTAAAATGTTGAAAACAGCTTAACAAATAAAATAAAAGCAAGGCAAATGACATCATTAAGGTGTTGGACGAGATTTTTTTTTTTTTTTTTCGTTTTTAATTGATACTTTTTCATTAATAATTACAAAAGTATTATATTGTTTTTTTTTTTTACTTCCTAACTTTAAAATTTGTAAAGATTTAATAAAAATATTTTTTAATAAAAATATTTTTTATTGATATTTTTATAATTTATTTTGTAAATTTTAAAAATAAGAAACAGTATAAACAAAATAGAATTTTTATACTTATTATCAAAAGTATATTAACTAAAAATCAAAACAGAAAATAAACCAAATACTATGTTCTTTTATTTTTATATATGTTTCTTTCCAAATACTACAATAAACTAAACTACTTATACTTATATTATGATAGTAGTTTTGTTTAAAGAATATTAAGTTTGCTTAAAAAAAAAACAAATACTTATTTCAAAACTCTGGATTCTAAATCCGTGTAGGCGTGAGGCCAGTTAAACGTTGTAGTTCAGAAAAGTAAATTCAATTATATCAGTCAGAGAATCACAAAAATATAGCTTTTGTTTGCTAAGTAAAAGATATGAATTATAGGATACCAAAAAAAAAAAAGATATGAATTATGTGTTGGAGTCTTTGATAATTGTTCAGTTCTTTTATATATTTTGTAATCATAATATTTGTTTATGATCTCCTTGAAATTCTTCTTCACGCTAGTACTATCTATTAAAGTGAAAATTCTTGACCATTGTTTACATACACAAAAAACCTTGGATCAACCACGACACGGCAATGCTGAACGTATTATAAATCAACTTTAATTCCCCCTTTATAAGTATATAAGTAAATAGTTGCGGCCTGAGGCATCCCAATCCCCTTATAAGTAAAAACACAGAAATAGAAGAAAACAAAGAAATTTCAGCGATTCGAATTAGGCAAGTTAAATGCACAAGCAATGTAATTAAATACGATATATGGGACTATTCACCATTACCAAGGCTTCCCGTGTTGACACATTAGCCTCGGGCGCACCATAGTTACATTTTTGGTACCTCTCTAGCGTTTTGAGCATGCTGCACGTTGATAAAAAAAAATATTAGTATAAATTACATGTCAGAATTTCATACAAACGGATACAAAATAAATTGAGTAAAAGTACATTCTACGAAATTTAAAATTATTGCTGTCAACATTATTTAAGGGCAAATAATGCCATCTCATAAAACATTCTCACTTTA